GTTTTGCAAGAAAAAACAATCAAAGACAGATTAATTCCATGTTTACTCAAATCAACCACTTATATAAGACAGGACATTAGAATGTAATTTTGTTAAAATTTAATGTCTTTAGAAGACATTTAGCATTCCTTGATGAACTCACTGAATAGCAGAGTTCTTTCTTAATCATGCAATAGCAATAGCACTTAAGACTTCTATACCATCCTATAGCGTTTTACAGCACACTCTGAGTAGTTTACAAATGTCAGCATATTGCCCCAACAATCTGGGCCCTCATTTTACCGACTTCAGAAGGATGAGTCAACTTTGAGCCCCTTCAGGATCGAACTCCAGACTGTGGGCAGAGTTAGCCAGCAAAACTGCATTCTAACCACTGCGCTACCAGGGTTCCAGATTAATCCCAATTAACCTTTAATAAGCTGATATTTTGACCTTATTACACAAAGTCTCAATAGAATAAGCAAACAGGTGCCTTACCTGACTTGCTTCCCCAAACGACAATTGGCTTTTTTTCTTCAAATTTTAATTTGTGGGCGATAAGGAATCTCCTAAACCATTCTTCTTTATCTCGACCTGTCCTTGCAAATAAATAAAGCACTTGGTTCTTCTGGGTCCCAGACTTTGCTCCATCCAGAGAGGCTTCACTGTTTTCCTTTTCTAGAGATATTTTTTCCTCTGAGGTTTCTTTATCAATCTGGGCTTTGGCCATGAAATTGTCTTGTCTCCCAAGCTCAATGCAGATTGGATACTTTTTATTCCAGACTCGCTTTCGAGCCAAACTTTTGGGAACCAAATAAATCTGCAAACCAAGTTGTGAGAGAGTTTCACGTTTCAGCTCATTAGAGAAGTGACTACAGAATAGTAATGCATTGCCATAATCAAAGAAACAATCAAGTCAAAACAACATTGGGCAAGCTGCCTGCCCAGTATTCAGGAGTGATAAAATATGGATTAGGAACTGTAATTCTGGACAAATTATATTTGGGTTTCTGTTGTATTTTATTTGACAGGTTGGAAAGCCTTGGTGTGGGGAAAATCTCTATCAGCCCAGCATTATTATTATTTTTTGCTACTAGACATCCTTTCATGCAAAAACATGGGAAACAAGGCTTAAGGAGTATGGTGGACTGAAGAACAGCCATAGCAAGTTTTACGGGAATGGGTGTGCATATGTGCCGAATAATTGCAATTTCATCAGCAACCATAAAGAGCATGCAATCTTACAAATCAACTGAACTATCCAATGTTTATTTTAAACCATTTTATTCTGGTTATATAAATACTTTAAGATCACAGCAGACAGGGCCAGAGAGGATTTCAGATGGTTGTAGAAACTTCACTCATTCTTTGATGAGACCAGAAGCATAGTAAAATGACAACCTGTCAAACCTGGATAACATCACAGACATGGAGCTGGCATTAAAACAGTACCAATAATTCTGGGAATTAGACAAAAGGGTTTTTGTCTAATGAGTTTTGCTCAATAGGATGATTTCCTTCTATCCACCATTCTTCCCCTCCCCTTTAATGTGAAGAGGCAGGGATCTCAGTAGCAAGAAGATATTATTCCGAGAATTCCTATAAGTTATAGACAAATGATTTCTCCAAGGTTCACAGATCTTATACTTGGCAGCTGTCAACTGCAATAATTCAGACGAAAACAGAACAGAACGGAGAACAGAAATTCAAACAATGCCAGATAGAAATTATTAATTCTGAACTCACCTTACTATCTGTAAGATCATAAATTTTCTGACTAACGTAGGTAACTTCTGGCTTGGTTTCATTGTATAAAGCTTTTCTGGAAATATTTTTGTTTGGTTTTGAAAGTCTCAGGATGCTTCCTTCCAGTCTCACAAAAATAGAGTGGGTCAACGTAGCATGATAGGTTTCTGGATCATAATTATAGATCTCATTCATCCAGCCCTACAGAAATTAAAGAAATGAAGAGATTTTTCATTTTACGACAAAATTAGTAAACAGTGTTGTTTGCTGACATCTTGAATCATTTTAGTCAGTTGGGCGTATGAGTTGATTTGAGTTTGAGTTAAGATTGTAACTTTCACATTTCCTACATAGCAAAAGTCTTCCAAAAGATCTAGAGAACATTTGATTAGTGAAGGCTGACCTAAAAGAAATCCCAACAAAAAAAAGTTTATTTTACCTTTGGAAAAATATATTGTACATATACTGTGTTTGTCAGAATAAGAGTAGCTGATACCCGTATTTCACATCAGGTTCAGAGGTTGGCTCCTACCGGTTCGGACCGGTTCAGCCAAGGAGGTAGTAACTTGGCCTGCCATGCCCCCAAACCAGTTCTATCGGTGAGGCCGCCATCTTGATTTTCAGTTCTGCGCATGCGTAGAACAATCTTCATTGCAAACATTTTATTTTTTTCCCTGTTATAACATTGTGTGCATACACAGACCTTTTTAGGTCTGCATTCACCCAGTGTGCGCATTCGGCGTGCGAGCGAGCAAAGCGAGAATGTGCGTGCAAATTTTTTCTGCGCCGAACTGGCAGTAATGCCAGCAGCAACCCACCCCTAAGCAGGTTGAATGCACTTCTATAATTACTGGAAAGAGATAGATTTTTAAATATCAAAACTGGATTGAGATAGACAGGGAAGGATGGCATAAGATGGTGTATATGGAATGCTTGCTTGTTTCTTCCTAATTAGCAAGTCATGAATCAGTCAAAAATATAACTCAATAGTTGTACTGGGAAGGAAGATACCTATAAAGGATACCAGGCACTCCAAATTCTCAAGAACTGTATTTCTTACACATAGTTTTCACTTCCCCTGTATATGTCATATCTTGTCCTTAACATGCTATGGAAACACCCATCATGCAATTCTAATACGGTATGTCCATTTTCATTCATGTTAGAGATAAGCAGTGTTACAAAAGCCAGATGCTACAATTCAACCTCCTAANTAGGTTAATAGAAAGTGGGATCATTCACTCAATCACATGCATATCCCATACACTCACCATACCAATTAAAAATTGCGCAACTGTGCAAAGTTCGTACAAGGCTTGTACTAATATAAGAGAGGAGGTCTTAATGTTCTTAGTCTTCTCCTCTGCAAAGTCCAGTAAAGAGGGCAAGGTCCAAAGGTATGAAGTAATTGGAAGATTAGTGTCGGTTGGGGGGAGGCACAGAGTAGGCTCCCTGCCCACGTCTTCTTCGTCCCTTGCTTTTTTCTGCAAGGATTGAGTTTCAGCGAGGCCGGAAGTGGATTCAAGAATCCCAGCTCACAGCACAATGATGGTCCTGAGGACGAAGGCAGGGGCGGGGGCGGTCGGAAGGCAAAGTAAGCATGGATAGTAGCAGCAGCAGCGAGAGCTGAAAGGCCAGTCATGATGGTCAAAGGCTCAGTATGCAGCAGTCAGTTCACAGAAATAATCATACCAACCCCCCTGACAGTCTGAACCCAAAGCCGAAAAGGGCTACGACTACGGTGGAGGGGGGGGGGGCGCCCCTTTCAACAGCTGGGCCGCGGCGTTCTCAAAGGGGCCTCAGCGAACCCACAAGTCATCGGGCCAGCAACAGCAACAGCACAACGGCACAACGGTGGTTGCAGCAGTCGGGGCAGCAGTCGTAGCGAGGTCGAGCTCCCCCAAAAAACAGCTAGCCCGCGGCTCTTCCGAGCCGCCAGGCCGCAGTGTTCCTACGATGTTCTTACCGCCAACGGGCCAGCGAGCCAACAACAGCGGAGGTCACGGCAGCGGTGGTCGCGGCAGCCAAAGCAGCAGTCACGGGAAGATCAAGGCTCCCCTAGCAGCTCGGCCGCGGAGTCTTCCGGACAGCTGAGCCGCGGCGTTCTCAAGCCGGCATCAGCGAGCTAGCGGCATAGCGGCGATTGCGGCAGTCAGGGCAGCAGACACGGGAGGGTCGGGGCTCTCTCAGGCCAGCTGGGCTGTAGCACCTTCTAAGCGGCGTCAGCGTCTTTCACGAACGGCAGGCTTGGAGAGCAAAAACTCTCCAATTCACTACCAGCACCAAGTCCCCCAAAAAACACTCGTACCTTGGCTTCTCCCGGCTCAGTCTCTGAGTTCAATTTCTCCACTTTACTGGCTGTTTCTCTTGTACGGAGCCGGAGCCGGAGCGGTGAGCTCGGTAGACATGTTCCTCGCACATGCGCAGAAATCATTAAAAGTGTCCCCTCGCCATCAGTATACACCAATTTAGAATCGATATGATCTTTAAGGGGCACAATGCCCCTTTTCTTTTCATCTGCTTCTTGATTGGTGTGTTGTTTACTTGATTGTTGGTTTGAGGTTAACTTTGGAGTTAATCTATGATGATATTGATGCTGATTAGTGGTGGAGAGATGCTGGAGTCTATTTTGTTATTATTATTATTATTATTATTATTATTATTATTATTATT